AGGCCAACTTCATGGAGAAATTGATCCAAATAGCTCAACATTTATGCTGCACTTATCTAAGCTTGCGATTTCTGGATATAAATAGGAAGGTTAAATAATTTGAGAAACATAATAAATGTCCAACCCTCAGTAACTGGTTAAAACACTTTAAATAAAAGAGCCAAGCTTAATTCAATATGTAGTTAATGAAAATTTCAAGAGATGAAATAATAGAATATAATCTTTTAGGCTATTAAATGAATTCAGAAAACTTGAATTTCAGGCAAACTGATTTGACAATAAGCCAAGGAGGGAACAAATACTAAATTAAGTTTCTGTTTTAGGCTTATGTCTTAGCCTATAATATAGGTCTCAAACAGAAGCATGAGTGGCATGTTGTAAACTGTGCTGAGAGAAGCTATGAAATTGCAGTTTTCACATATAAATTGGAAGAGGAATCTGTTCATATTGATGGTGGTGGGATCTTTCATACTCACTATTTACTCCCCCAAAATAAAACATATTCATATTAAAGCCATACATATATCTGCTGTCTGTAGTAGGTGATCACTTATTATCTCAGAAAACTTTAGAATTTTTCAATAATGTGGATATAGATGCATTATTTCTTCCTTAATTCAAACATACTGTCCAGAAGTCGCAGATTATCTGGGCTTTTTTTTTTTTTTTCCAAACTCGAGGTTTTCTATTACTAGAAAAGAAGTTTTTGATTGGGTGCAGTGGCTCACGCCTGTAATCCCAGCACTTTGGGAGGCCAAGGCAGATGGACACAAGATCAGGAGTTCAAGACCAGCCTGGCCAATATGGTGAAACCCTGTCTCAACTAAAAATACAAAAATTAGCCGGGCATGGTGGTGTGCACCTGTAATCCCAGCTACTTGGGAGGCTAAGGCAGGAGAATCGCTTGAATCCAGGAGGCGGAGGTTGCAGTGAGCCGAGAGTGTGCCACTGCTCTCTAGCCTGGGTGACAGAGTAAGACTCCATCCCCTCCCCCTCAAAAAAGGAAGTTTTAAAAATTTTTTATTATTTTAATTTTTAATATTTTGCATATGAGGAAATAAAAAAAAAAAGCACTCACCAGTGTTCTTCCTTCATGGAACAATATATTACCATTACGTACACTCTTAGTAATATACTTAGAGGACTATTGATAACACTAAGCTTTCTTGGAATGAGGGAGGAGATGTATTTAATCTTACATAGCAATGTGATTTCAAAGAAACTTTTTTTCAACTTTACAGATTATTCAACCCACCCTAGAGTTTTAGGATGCTGGGTGAAGAACAATAGGCTTACCGATAAACTGTTTAATTTTGTAACACACATTTTTAATCTAATGAATTTCTTCAAGCGACCCAGAAGGAATTTACATGTAACTGATGCCCTGTAGCCACCTTCTTGGTATGCCTTTCTCTCAAAAAGCACTTACTGTTTAGCTAATAATTGTCCAGTGATCAGTAGCCAAAAGATTCAATATCCAAGCATCCATTTAAAAATGATAATCTGCTGTAGTCTGTCATTGAATTTCTGATTAATAAACTGTAACTATTTTTATTTTATTTTATTTTATTTTTTATTTTATTTCATTTTACCTTGTGTCTTAGCTGAGCAGCTTAAACAACAGAAATTTATTTCTCGTAATTCTGGAGGCTGGAAATTCAAAGATCAAGGTATCACCTGCTGATTTGCCTTCTGGTGAGGGTTCTCTTCCTGGTTTATGAATAGACACCTTCTTGTTGCATTCTAACATGACAAAGAGAGAGATTTTCTCTCTCACATCCCTTATTAAGAGGGCACTAATCCTACTTAAGAGGGCTCCACCCTCGTGATCTAATTAACTCCTAAAGGCCCTTGTAGGGAAGAAAAAGTAGTATGTTTTACTCATCACAAAGTTTATGGCTGAGGTCCTTATATCACATTACAAATTAACAAGATGAAAACATACAAATGTATTTAACATGTTTCAGGTGACATGGGGTCCTTCAGAAATGAAGACCCAAATGGACAAATTTGTGTATATTTATGCCTATATTTGATGAATGGTATACAGTCATGTAGAAGAACAATTAGAGAAAAAGGGTAAGATTTAAAGGTAATAAAGTGGAGAGAACTTAGCCAGGCCCATTTGTTCAGATTCTTCTTGGCATCTCTGTGTTTGCAAGGACAAGAATTTCTCAGAATTTTTCTTTTCTCAGTGTATGGGGAGGGCCTCCGCTGGAATGAAGGTTTTATAACCTTACTTTAGTAAGACTAGCTAGATTTTATGGCCAGTTTCAGGGGAGAAGGGAAGAACAAAGTGAGAGTGACCTTTCTGCTTCTGTCATTTTCTTAAATGTCAAGGTGCCATATTTTGGAATAGTTTGTCTTGAATCTCATCACCCCATTTCCAAATATCATAGTATTAGGAATTAGGGCTTCGATATATAAATTTGGGGGGACATAAACATAAGCGCCTAGCACTTTGTTAAATACCAACACTTTAGTGTTTGATGACACTATCGGCTTCAAAGCAAGTCTTGATGAGGAAGCAGTGTTTGCTATTAGACTTCCTTCCAAATACTCTGTCTGAGTCAAAATATCAGACAATCAAAAAAGTGATTTCCCTTTCCTATTGAGTCTTAGGACACATATATAAAGCAAGAATGCATGTACAGTCATTCCTAGATATTCATGGGGAGTTGGTTCCAGGACCCCTCTGTGTATCAAAATCCATGATTGCTCAAGTACCTTATATTAAATGGTGTAGTATTTGCATGTAACTTAAGCACATCCTTCATGAATCATCTCTACATAACTTATAATGCCTAATACAATGTAAATATTTGTTACATTGCTTTTTAAAATTTGTATTCTTTTTATTATTGTATCGTTATTTTAAAAAATTATTTTATGAATATGGGATCATGGATACCGAGGGCTGACTGGGATGCATATAATAAACTTTTAAAGAGTGGCGCATGTTATATAACTATAGGTTTATTACAAAAACAAGATCAAACCAACTCTTCGTAAAAATAAATTTAAAAGCACATCTTCAATACCAAAAGGATTGATTAAATAATTTCTCTTCTTTAACTTGGTAGTCCACAAAGCCAGACTAACATAGTACAAATCAAATATCTACTTTATTTATAAGACATTTGTAGCACTGATAGATCGCTTACTATGTATCAGGAGATATGGTAAGCACATAATAAATATTAATTCATTCCAATCCTAACAATAATCCTATTGGGTACATATTAGTGTCCTGCTTTCAAGTGACATAGCAACCTGATTTCAAAGAAATTTTTTTAAAAGTTAAAAATTAAAAAAAGGAGAGAGAGACAGAGACAAAGCACAACCCCACCCCAATAAAAGACACAGATATATGACTTGTAGAGACTAACTATGCTATACAAGGAAAAACTAAAATTTGAACCTAGATCTATCTAAATTCCAAAGGCCAATTTTTAATACTGTATTTTACTTACAATTTTGCCAATTAGTGCTGCGAGCTGGTGTGTACCCATTAGTTATACTTAAGTAAATGAAGGCTAAGATGATATGCTAGATTCTTTTAAACATTTCACACATTAGCATAAATAGAATTGATAAAGACCAGTCAAAATTCTTTGTACATCCTACATATGTGTTACTTTTTTAAATGTTTGAGTCCTAAACATGAATAATTCTTTCACACTAATTTTTATAAACTGTATTCCTCCAATTTACAAACTGTTTTGTAGTTTAATCTAGTAGCTGCTTTATTACATATAATATGTTGATGCTATACTTTATAGAACAAAATAAAATCACTAATAGAAATAGTATTATATGCAAGTCTAATCTTAGTTAATGGCACACTATTTTTTCCAATATTAATAATAGAAAATCTACCAGGGTTATGAAAAATGGTGATTTGAGAGGGATATTTGGAAAAATATAAAAGGCAAGTTATACTCTAAGCTCTTATTTGCACCTTAAAATTTTATAAAAATTCAGTATTTCATATTAGTCCCATCAATTTTATTAAGATATGTGTTTAGTAAATAAGATTAAATGCTTGCCGTTCTTGGAAGAATTATTTTACCGGTGTTTTCTTTTGTGACATCTGCTGGCAATACCTGGTATTACACTGCTCTATAATTAGCCTTTATCTACCTTCTCCAACTGTCCAACTTTTCCAGATAATACCAGTTAATTCAACTTAAAGAATAGAGTGAGTGTCCCGAACTAACGAAAAGGTATTTTAATATGAAACTGAATCAGAGGAGCAGAAAATTTAGCCCTCTAGAGGCTGATAACTTATTTAGCATATTACACATGTATTTTTAATTTCATTGTTTGGTACTAAAAGAGATATATACTTTTTTTCTGAAAACTTTAAGCTCGTTCCAGGTAAAAATGTTATGTATTATAATGCTCATGATGGACAATTGTTAACCAATCCCTCTAGTGAAACTGTCCCACACAGATGTTCTCTGCAATTTGATAGCTATGTGATTTAAAAGTGTACATTAAAGTAAAATTGCAAGTGTCAAGTCTAAACTCATGTTTAAAAATGAATGAACTGTACCTAAATTGCTGCATACATCGGATCCATGGCTATGAAGCAGAATGCATGAGCAAACTTTTTATATTACCAAGAATCCATTTATCTATGGTCCCATCAGTCAAATTCAGATACTTGTTGCCAGCTCCAAGATTTATAGTCTGGAGCTGGTTTTTGAAATTGCTTTGTATTTCCATTTAACAGCCAGGGAAGCAGCATGTTAAAATTTTGCCTTGGTCTCCTTGGATCCTATTTATAAAGCTAATTTGTCTCCCTAGACATTTTTTTTTTCTCTCTTTTAAATGCCAGCTCTAGGCTTCTAAACCATTAAACCCCCTTCTTTATCCCAAGCATAATACTGTCATAGACAGCGCCGTTGCAGGACAGTGATGATTCCGATGATGATATAATTCTCCCAGGCAGGATGCAAACCATTTCGTCTTCTGGCCGGAGATGGATTCACTGCCCTCCCTGCAGACACGCAGGCTCACACGCGGAGCACTGGGAAGTACACATTTACTGTACTGCATGCCGACTGCCTTGAAGAAACTGTAGCTAACCACCTTATTAGTATTCTTGCCTCCACCGTGTCTCACTTGCAGCATCAGAGGGCTGAGCAAATGCAGTAGAACAGGGACAGACACAGCTCTGGCAATCATCTCAATGCAGGCTGCCGAATGTTGGGTGTGGGGAATGCAGCGCATCAAGATTAATAACCTTGCCATAATCCGGGGCACCCTGCAAGCAGACACCTCTGCTGATTGACCTGCTCCTGGCTTGATGCATCTCCTGGGGGAGAGGGATCCGGAATCTACCTAGTCCTGGGGCCCCCCTGATTTTGGATGTTCATTTGATCCTTCACAGATCTGGGAAGGTAACAGTGAGCTGTGCCATCTGCAGCACACAGCAGCTCTTGGAGGTTACTACTGACAGTTTTCATTACACTGGTTTGTGTGAGTGCCTGTGTTTGTATGTGTTTGTGAGTGTGGGTGCCTGCTTTGCATGAAAGAGAATGTGTGAGTGTCCGTGTGTGTGTACGTGTTAGTGTGACAACCAAAGCAGGTATTTCGTACAGTAGGAGATTTCAACAGCGTGACAATATTCTCCGGGCACTTGGGCTCACAGTCTGTAGCCCCCACCCCCCGCCTTTCGCCACCTCCTTGCTTCCCCACTCCCCCTTCTGCTTTTGCCTTTGATGAGTTTTTGGCTTACTTTTTGGCGGAGTCTCTTGGACACGTTTTTGCTGGTGCTGGAAGATCAGATACATGGAACCTTTGAAAACTGATTATTTTTCTCCGATATGACTTAAAAAAATAAAAAGAAGAAAAGAAAATAGAGTAGTGCACGGCAAGCTAGAGGATTGTAAATTTTCCTTGGTGAACTTTGAGGATCCATAAAGAAGGTAAGTCACGGGACTCCTCAGATCTCGGTCCTTGTTGTCTTGCAATGTTTGTGTTTTCCTGCTTGTTTTCGGAAATCCATATGCAGTTTATACGCTCATTTCTAGAGACTGGAATGCTCAGAAGAACTCAGTGTGTGGCATTTTGGGGCTATTTTTATGCCAAGGAGGTTATTTCCATTTGTATAACCATCCCCCCTTTCCTCTTACCATTTTTATACCTCTCTTGTTTATCTAACATTTTCACAGGGAATTCTGAATATATGAAATCTGGAAAAAAAATAATTCCAGCTTTCTCCTGCCTTGAAATACTGTCTAAATTTGAGGAAAAGCATTAATCAGAAAAGCGACTGGCACAGGCTCTGAGTTAGAGGCAAAGTGTGTCTGCTCAGAGACTGGGGGCTGGGGAGGTGGGGGTGTAATCCGGACTTTCATGATAACTTAATAGTAGACTTCCCCCTCCCCATAGCTCTATTTTTTTTTCTCCTTGAATAGTTAGTTATATCTGCTCTAGAGAGTAGCGAATGTGTGGAATACAGAAAAGCTGCTTCACCAGCTCTTAATTGGAGGAAATGAGAACAAAGTGGAAATTGTTTAGTATTTTGAACCTCTCTCTTTTTGCACGGATTCTCTCGCTATTGCATCTCATTAACCTTTCCGAATGCAGTGTTCCCTGATTAAGACTAGTGTCGCTCATTTTGGAACATCCTCTCGCCCTATGTGGTCCCCCCGAGAAGGGGATGTGTTTGAAAATTGCTCTTAATTGTCTATTCTTGGCTGTAAAAGCAAGTGGCATCAGGAATTCAGGTGACTTTACTCAAACATCTTGCCTAACTCAGTCTCTTGAGTTTCCTGGTAGTTAACTGTGCCTTTCTTCACCCCCACCTCCAAGCTTTTCCTTCAAAGTGAAATGCAGACAATATTTCACCTGTTTCAATCCCAAGGTTACTTAATTAAAGCAAAATATCATTTCATTGTGATAACATCTGTGTTCCCGTGTCTTGTAGGATTTGTATCTCTGCATTGGTATCAATTAGCTTCTCCCCAGGAGTAAGAATCACTTGTAAATAGGTTTCTAAAACGCTGAGACCTCACAGGAAGGCAGCAGAACCTTACTCTTCATCTGCCAGTGCATGTGGATGGTTTGTCCTGAAAAGAATAGTGTTAGTTCATGGAATGTTAGCCAACTTGAACTGTTACTGTGGACACGTTCATGGAAGAGATGACAGGTGTGGTAACTAGGTAGAGAAGAGCACACCTAAGTGATTCTCTCCAGGTGTTGATGTCTATGTATAGAAAGAAGATGAAAATTGTAGCATAATAGATTTATTCAGACGCTACGTGGCCTGGGTCGAAGATTTATGAGAGCACCCAAGTTGAGAGATGTCAGGCATCATACTCAAAACATTGATTTTATATATATATTTAAAAGGAGTTCCAAAAAGAAAACAAGCAAGCAAACAAACAAAAAACTTAAAGATGAGATTATACTCTGGTATTACCCTAGGCTATCCTAGCCTTTCATCTATCTAATATTTTTTGCATAACGATTTTAGAGAAGCAGGTAAAAGAGGAAAACTGTGAGAAGCTGCCCCTTCTCCACCCCTGGCCCAACCTTGTACCTGGTACTCCAGGCAGTACTCTCAGTAAAAATTACCATGGGAAAACTCCTGTCAGTATAATTTATAATGTGTCTTTCATGTCAATGATTTATGATCATGATATTTTTATCTGTGACCCATAATGTCCAGGTACATTTTTCTTATCTAGAAAGGAGGTTTGTTGTTTTGTTTTTTTAATTTTTAAGTGGCTTGAACCTAGGAGAAATCCTAAATAAAATTTTATTTTCTTTGTGGAAAAAACAATCTGAGGTTCATAAACCCTGAAAGTGAGAATAATATATGAATAAGAAACACAAAGTTTCTGTTGTAAGGAGAAGGATCCTGATACTCCAAGTGCCAAAGGGTCATGGCAGGGTATTGGAGGCTCCCCAAGCTCTGCCTGGACAATCAGCATTCCTTAAGTTTGTCAGCTCTTTATTAACCTGCATCTTTTGGCAACTAGTCCCAGGTATGGAGGACAGCATTTTAGGTCATCTATTTAGTGTTAGGACTGCTCTGAATAGAGAGAGGTCCTTTGAAAATGTCTTTCTGGAATCCGGCAAATTAGTACCTCTCTCCATTGAGGTTATCTAATGTTGACTGTTCTCTTATTCATATTCTCACCAAGTACTGGTATATTTAGATGTGTGGTGTTGGTAAAAATTAATTGCATAGATTATTCTCAATACTACCTCAAAACAAAACAAAACAAAAAAACAACAACAAAAGATACCAGCTTGGCTTTTGTGTATTAAAGATTTAATAATTGTAATGAGTGAATCTTTTAGCGATAGCAACACTTTGATGATCACTTATTTTAGGCTAATAATGGAAGTGGGGTACAGTCAACTCAGGCTTTTCTGATTACAGCTTATGCAATGTGCAAAGCATCTCTCCCATATCTCAAGGGTTCCTGATGGTGTTTGCACAACTGTAACTTTGCATCTTTATTTTCAGCTCAGGCCAGAGCAATAATAAACAGCTTTTGATCAGAACCAACTCCAGCTCCATGGCTTTTTCAGTTTTATTTTGTGGTAGAGAGGGTTTTGAGGTTTACCAGGGTTTGTTTTATTGCTTAGAGAATTCAGAAAAGAAAGGTAAATGGGGGTAGGGAGCCTTCCATTTCAGTAGGAGTAACATGTCAGAGTTGCTAAAGAAAAGGCTAAAGTTCCCTAGAAGCAGCATATGCAGGGTTATATTTTTAAAAGAATGAATTGGTGAAGGGTTTCTCTGAGTTTATTGGGGAGAATAAAGGACATTCCAGTTTCTTTCTGTATTTAACTCTATTTAGACTTGGAAGTCCTTTCCCTGGGACTCTGCTGAAGTCAGACAAGGAGGCCCAACATTCTCCAGTGTGTTCCTGTGTTTTTAAGACCCAGGGCACTTAACACATGAATAGCTCTTTCCCTCTGTAACAAACAGGGTTGACAGCTGGAAAGTCAGCTACTGAGAACCTTTAAGAAGGAGCCAGGAACATCCCCTAGTAAGTTCAAGAGCAGAGAGGAGCTTTTGCAGCCCCGGCCCTGGAGGTGGGTAAGGACCAGGTGGATTGAACTTGAAATTTTGATTGCTGAGTCATTACAACAGCCTAGAGCTGTTTGTTAGCTCAAAGAGCTGAGCTGATGCTGGAACTGGGGCTAATAGGAATAGGCTAAGAGCATCAGCCTACAACAGAAAATGAAGACTCTTGAGAAGAAGAAGATACAGTCTGTGATGACAAATGCTATTTTGTATGTCCTTGATACTGTTCTCCATCACTTCAGAACAACCTCTCAGGGACCCCACTAAATTACAGGATAAAAGATGGATTAATTGATGTGTGAATAGAGCAGGGGCTTTGCAATAAATTAAGCCAACTCACTCAATTATCTGCACCTCCATTTGGGACTACTCAGCAGTCACAGATAAAATGGGGAATGGTGGAGGCTGGGGTTAAAATCAGAAGCAAAAAGAAAACCCTCTGGATTGAGAATCAGAAGATGTCAGTCAAACATTGCAAGTATTGCTTAATGGTTGGTAGGTCGTTCAAAGTTTGGAACCTTGATTTCTTCCTATATAATTTGGAAATAACTATTCTTAACTCATAGTGTTGTTGTGAAGGCTATGATGAAATATTGTAGGAAAAAAGATCTACAGATATACTCTTCTGTAGAAAAGTAATGTGTTATAGTAATGATGACTTTCTGTATTGTCCGAGACATAAAATGATTCCTCCAATATAATTTCAAGTTAAAGTGTTAAGCAGAACTGACCTATTCTTAATGATTGGTATTAACATTTATGTTGTTATAGTTTTGGTGTTTTTCCAAATGTGTTGACTTTGCCTCTTCTCAGTAATTTTTGTGGTACATTCTTAGTTACTTGTGAATATGTGTATGTGTTGTGTGTATGTACATGTGCATGCATACATGCATAAATAATTAGCCAATTCATATGAGGCATAATTTTAGTTTCATGAAAAATAGAAAATATATAATGACCTGAATTCATTTTCACTGGATATCCAGAAAACATAAGAAAAACTTGACTTTCCCAGACTTGGACATACACAGACTACTAGCAAGTTTGCAGTCAGCAGATAACTCCAGTCCACAATGAGGTTGTTGATTAGAATTTGAGTTACACTTGAGAATTATATAAATAAAATATACATTTTTTAGTAATAATGATTTTCACAGTGAGCTGCATTTGGTGGACAGATAGACCAGAATTAAAAAGCTGACTTGGAAGTTATGACAGCAAGAGAAGATGGTAGTGAGAACAGACTTTGGAGTTGAATAGAATAAGATCAGATACCTAATCTCTTAAAGCCTCAGTTGTCTCATCTGTAAAATAGGGACAATCAGTTATAAGCGATTCTGTGATGAGTGAATGAATAATTTTATGTAAAGCACTTAGTAAAATCCTTGACACAAAATTGGACTTCTCTAGGTAGCTCACATATATTCTCTCATTCCTGTTCAACTAGTTTAAGAATAGGAAGACCATACTAATCCAGTGTTTTTATATTTTTATACAGGGGGCAAAATCTCCAAATGTAATCTGAGTGCTAAGTAAAACTGGAGACAGAAAGCTACATTCTGAAAGCTATATTTCTGTAAATTAGCTCATTTCATGTACCATGGTTTCATCACACCCTTTTACTGAGCAGCCTAAGCACCATTTTCAGATGTCATTTCACTTATACTCAGAACTTTCAAAATGATACCGAATATAAGGAGGAAGAATCACGTGCATCCTTCCATATGTGGTTGCAGAAACACAATTCAGATGTCACCAAGAGGTGTTAACATTGCTCTTTACCTAAAATCTCGTTTTGTTCACAGTTAATGAAAGGATGCATATTTATCAAGCACCTACCAGGTACGAGCACTACAATCATTGCTGTGGGGTGTATTAGAA